TAAGTTTTAAATACAATAACACAAGAAAACAAATTAATCAGAAATAGAGATTAGAACGAGAAGCCACGTACCTCAAAAGTTTCGTTGACGATGAAGGAATTCCTAGAACTAAGATTATGAGGAAGTCGTTTCTTTCCTCTCCATGCCAAAGAACTCAAGTTTAGTTGCGATAAAAAGAGTATGAGAATGGAATTTGAATAGTTGAGAGATAGAGGAGAAGGCAACTTAAATGGTAAAGAGCATGAGCCACGAGGTACACATCTACACGAGATGTAGAATTGAGAGAGAGAGAGACGCCTAGGGGTTGGGTTTGGTTTTGACTCGTAAATGTAAGCTGCACACTCTCCCATGTTCTTGACAATATTAAACAGGACATATTTTCCCTATATTAAATATTACTTTTTTTTTTTTTTTTTTTTTTTTTAAACCGGTTTTAAAATCTGGTTTCGGTTAATCGGTTTGAAAAAATCTATAACCTAAAAACCAAACAAGATAATTGGTTTATGAAATTTTGAAAATCGAAACCGAACCGGTTTATAAAAAAAACCGAATTTTTTATTCGGTTTTGGTCCGGTTTTTCAGTCTGGTTCAGTTTTCAAACTTTTTTTCTCACCCCTGTAGAGTAGAACTTATTAAAGGAAAACTTTTATAAAGAAATTGTTAATTATTTTAAATTGTGTCTTTCCATGGGTTTCTCAAATATTCTCAATTCATATCGATTAAATATTAACCTCGATATTCTTTCTAACTTAAATATGTCATCCTCTCATTCCTTAGTCGACTGAACTTCCACACAAAATCTAAGCTAATCTTTTAACATTTACTCCAAATTTGTCTTTGCAATCCTTTCTTTCAAATTTTACCCTCCACCAGCAAAGTCTCCTTAGATAATACCTTTCATCGTGGATCTCAACATGACTAACAGAAATTCTCTTGTTTCACTATGTGCGAGTGATTTGCCACCAATGTTTATTAAATATATTCGCCAAATTCACCGGTAACCTTTTATACTCAACAAACACACCATGACCTCCCAAAGCAAAAATCAAAATTTTCAATCGACACACATTAATCTTGACCACAAAGCACCGTATCCCTTCTCCCATGGAGTTAACCTGTGCTTTTTCAAGCTCTTTTAAAGACCCTTAAGTGAGGGCAACAATGTTAAGTTAATGTTCTATTAAAATAAGGCATTAAAGCATTTGCTTCCTCAAATTCCAAGCACAGTATCATCAAGGAGCAAATGGTTGCTATGTATCAAGCACCGGTCAACAGTAACGTTGAGGTGGCTAAAGGCTTCAACAACGCCCAAGGCTTTCAACACCTTTAGCTTTTCTAGTTAAAATGTTGAAACCAAAAGACAAACACATCACAAGTAAAATATAAAATAAGAACAGAACATAATGATTTACCCTTATTCGTCCAATTAAGGAATTACATCCAACATTCAAATAGATAATTTTTATTGAATATCAGAACTCTACAACAATTATAATGGTAACTCACTCTCACTCTCTATTCTCACCTTAGTTTTTTTCAACATAATGATTTACCCTTATTCGTCTAATTAAGGAATTACATCCAACATTCAAATAGATAATTTTTATTGAATATCAGAACTCTACAACAATTACAATGGTAACTCACTCTCATTCTCTATTCTCACCTTAGTTTTTTTCACTATTAAAGAAAATACATAATAGAAACCTAACTCATTTGGGTTTACCTGAATCTAACCCGACCTAGACCCAAATATTAGTAAACTAATTTTAAACTCAATTAGACAATTTGTCAATGCTAAGAGAAGTATACACAATATCCAACAAAAGACAATAACATTCACATGGTGTTATTCATTGTTGCAAGTAAAGGTTTATCAATTCACTTACTAGATGTTCACAACGTGTTATGGTAATCCTTCGCACACACGACAATTAAAAATATAAATTGATGTGATAACATCTATACATTATTCATATATATTTATTAAATTACTTACAATAAATACTTATGTACATATTTTATTAAAATATAAGTTTAGATAAAAATAATATAGGGTTGTTTAGTTAGGGGTTATCTCACATTACTGAGGTAATGTCAACTTATATTACCATGTTTGATTGTCAAATAATAAAGACTTTGGTAATTTTCCAAAATCAATAGTAATTACTGTTGGTTATATAGGTGATAACCTGAATATTACAATTTTTTTAGGTATTTTAAGATTACTTGATAATCTTATTTTTGTTACTTTTTTACCTCTAATTATTAATTTTTTTGGACAATAATGCCCTTGTTTTAAAAACAATTTACAAAAATATTTATAGACTATTTTATTCTTTATACAAAATTTTTAAGACATAAATACCTTTGAACTTAAAAACAATTACCCAAGACTGGTGGCCGGATTTGGCCACCACTATCGACCCTGATTGGATCTGGCCAACGGTTTCTGCCAGAATCTGGTTGACAACTGCTAGATTAGTTCTGGCAAAAAACAGTCAGATTTATGGATTTGGCCGAAAACAGCTAGATCCATACCAGAATAAATCTGGCCGGCCAGATCCGATTGGTCGTGTGCCATTTCGGCCATGTCGTCGACAGTTGTGGGCGGCGGTCGATAGTGGCTTGAGTGATTAGGGTCTTTTTGTTAATTTTAAACTTTTATTATATGGGTGTTTTAGCTAAATTCTCAAATGTAGAGGGTTAAAAATAATCTAAAAAATAATAATATAATAATATTAAAATTGAAGGGCAATTCAATAATCTATATGATATACCCACCAATTTATTTCTCCCAACCAAACATATCAATATAACATACCCACCAATTTATTCAAATCTAACCAAACACATTTAATAAAACATTTTCAATAATCTTTAAGATAATTTATCTTCCTTAGGGCATCTCCAACCCATGCCAAAATAGCGTAAAAAAAACCAAATTGGCATGGGTTGGTGCTCCAACCCCCGCCAAAGCACCACGCCATTTTGGCGTGGTATTGTAGTGTGAATAAAAAATATTTTTTTTTTAATTTTGCTTTTTTTTGTTTTTAATTTTGTTAAGTTAATTTGAGTATTAAATTTTACACCAAAAGTCACACCAAATTTGAGTATTTGTATTTAATTTAATTTGATTATTATTTATAATAATAAATTCATAATAATGATATAATTTAAAAAATGATGAAAAATTAAAAATAGAACTTTATTCAATTTGGAAAATTAAATTACTATCAATATGAAATTTTACCTTTGTGTTGTTGTTGTTGTTGTTGTTGTTTTTTTTTTTTTTTTTGTTGTATCATTTTATATTAGATGTAATGTTTTTTCATATTAAATGTAATGTTTATTTGATTAAATAAATGTTTAATTTTATTAAATTAGTATAATTTTCAAAATAATAATTATTTAATAAAAATATCATTCCTAATATTTAATTAATATATACAAAAATAATGAGTGAAATAGATTAATTGTTGATTATTATAATAAAAGAAGAAAAAAAAGAATATTCTAAGAAATATTCTTTTTAGTGTAATATTTGGTGTTGTGGGTTGGAGATGGAATATTGTTTTGCACCAAAATTTACACTATTAGTGCAATGAGTTGGAGATGGTCTTATAATTAGGGATGGGCATGGGCCGGGTCGGGGCCAAAGACTCCTATCACTGGGCCCAGCTTGGAAGCCTAAGGGATTCCCCGAATTCGGCTTGTCCTTGAATTGGGGATTTCGGCAAATCCCCACATATATATATTATGAATCAAATCATACACATATTAATACTATTATTGTATTATACTTGTATTATATTAATATTGTTAAAAGACTTTATATCTTTTTTTTTTTTCAAGACTTTTATCAAATTATCAAAAAATATGTCTCTTATAAAATGATACATTATGTCTATTTGATAAATGATAAATTATGTCTATTTAAGATATAATTTTTTTTAAAATTTCTTGTCAAATTATTAAATAGGATTTGTGATAAATTCTAATGTCATTACCATAATTTATTATTAATTAATTTAAATGACTTGATACACATATGTTATGTATTTATGTTATTAACATTCGCAAGTTATTTAAATAAAAAGTATGTTATTATCTATCAACAATATAACATATATATTAACATTTAGTCATTTACATATATATCAAGTAATTTATATATGCATATTTAGTTTATTATATTTAATACAGACAATTTCTTTAGTATTACTCATTTATATATAGTTTCACTCAATGTTCACATAATTATATTATTATAATAACATTTGAATTTGATCAATTAATAATGTGAAACAATTAATTATTAAAGTGGTAATTTTTTGACGTTTTTCTTTTACATTAGTAAATTACTAAATTGTGTTTTGTTATATGATACAATTTATTGTGTCTCTTCATCTTTATAATACAATGTATAGATTCTTTGAATATCATATAAAGTTTCTTTTCCTTTTTCTAATTAATTGGTAAATTTAATTAAAAATGATTTTAAATATTGATTTAAGTAATTAATTTGTTAATGTATAATTTATAGTTTCATTAATTGATTTTCAACTATTCAAATTAATATAGGATCAAACAATTAAACTTGATTAAATTTTTTAAGCATGGCTATTAATGACAATTGGATGCAATTAAATTCTAATTAAAATGAGAATATATAAATTATTTTTTCATTTAACAAATTAAATATAATATTTTTTATATCAAATTTTAACAATACTCGCCCTTACCCTTGAGAAAAGTCATCCGATAATGTTACTTTATTTTTTAAAACAACCGCAGGTGATTTTAATGAACTGATATGACAGCTGTATACCATAACTTTATATCTGTCATACAGCTGTCATTTTCATTTTGGTAAATCATATTATGAAAATTTTGGAAGGTATATATTTAGACACATTTTTATTAAAAATTACCTGTTATACCCTTGAGATGAAGAGTTAGGTTTGAGATCCATTTTCTGTGTAAACCTTATAAAAAGGAAGCAAAAGGTTCAGTCTCTTGGGAGTCTTATTGGGTATGGAGAATTTATTGGTATTTTAGGTGCTATTCAAAATATTCAAGGGTCTAGCTGGTTTTGGTTGCAGTTGGATGTCCTGGAATTATTGTACAGGACATAGAAAATATTTTACAAGCACTTTCTGAGGAGGTAAAAATCAGGCATTCTCTTTTCTTTGCATGCCTAATCTAGCTTGGTTTTTGAACAATTTTTGTTTTATGTAAATGATCCTTTGCATGTCTGTTATTTTAATTTTTGGGGCTTCACTGTTTTCTGGCTACATTTGCTTAGCAGCGGCAATTCTATCGTTTAGTTGTTTGTAATTTTTTCAGAGGCTTTAAAGTTTAACCTCTCGGCATATACTCAGTTATAGCTGAAACATTTTTTCTTTTTCTTTTTTTTAATCTTAATTAGTAGTAGACAACTCTCCTTTACATTTCAATGGACGATATGAAATCGTTGAAGCTACTACTTGAAACTTCTATTGCCACGATTCTCTCCCAGCTAGTATGATATAATTTTTTGATTTGATCGAAAGCTTTTGAGGTTATGTATTTGTTTCTGCTCAAAAGTCTTCATACTTATGAAAGAAATATACATTTAAGAGTTTAATAATTCTCTCTAATTAGGTTTTATGAGATTTTAATTTTTTAACCCTTCTTCTTAACCATCATTTTCTCTTTTCTTGGTGAGTGTGATGTGAGATTTGGATGCTTTGAGCCATCATTCTTCTCTAAGTGATGGGATTTTTACACTACATGACATTTTGACACCTCAACTCATCATTGTGATATAGCATTTTAACTCCTCAACCTATCCCTCTCTAATAAGATGATATGAGATTTTGATGCCTCGATTTATCCTTATCTAATAAGGTGATAGAGCATCTCAACTAATTCGAGATTTTGACGCCTTGATCTATACTCATCGAGTAAGTTGATATGAGCATCTCAATTAACATGCTCAATCTATCCTTATCTTATATCACAACTTGTCTTTCTCTAATCAAGTGACATGAGAGTTTGAAACCGTAAACCATCATTCTCTAGTCAAGTGATATGTGGTTTTGATATCTTGACCTATGATCTCTACTTTTACGCATCCTTCTTGATTAAGGTAATATGAGATTTTGATGCTTTATAACTTAGAATTGTGGAACTTGGTCTTTGTTGTTACATCCATGTATATATTTTTTTTTTTGAGTTGTCTTGTAAAGTGAGTTTTACAATGGTAAGTTCATTTCTTCTCCTATGGAGATTGCTAGAAAGTAATTAACCTTGTTTGAAGTGTCATATCTTATGATGCTTATGTAGATGAGCTTATATGCTTATATTGGCTTTAAGCATTAGCATTAGGAGTGTTCAGAAAAATGCAAAAACCGAACCGAACCGTAATCGAACCAAATTTTCTGTTATTCGAAAATCGGTTTGGTTTCGGTTCATAGAAATTGAAAAACCGCATTTTCGGTTCGGTTTCGGTTCATAGAAATTGAAAAACCGGTTAACCGAAACCTGTTTACAATATATATCCCTAAACCTAAATCCCCTTTACATATGTATGAATGTTTAATTTTTATTTGGATATGTATTGTTGATGTTTACAATTTAAATAAGGGAAAATTTAAAAAAAAAAAAAATTAGTTTAAGCCTTAAGGGGAAAATTGGTTAACCGGTTTTTTCTAAGCGATTAACTGGTTTTAACCGAAAAACCGGTTTTCCTCTAAACCAGTTGTAAACTGGTTTTAATCGAAACCAGTTTACAATAATATATATATATATCCCTAAACCTAAATCCCCTTTACATATGTATGAATGTTTAATTTTTATTTGGATATGTATTGTTGATGTTTACAATTTAAATCAAGGAAAATTAAAACCGGTTAACTGGTTTTAACTGAAAAACCGGTTTTCCCCTAAACCAGTTCGGTTTAGGAAAATTTTTGAACTGAAAATCTGGTTCGGTTCAAGAAAATGGTTAACCAATTCGATTAACTGATTTTAAACACTCCTAATTAGCGTGCTTCAATTAAGTAGATGTGTTTTGGATGAAAGGCGCTTGCATAAAATTCAAAAATAAATAAATGATATATATAGTAGAACCTTTCTATAGTGATACTCTATATAGGAATAACTTTCATGTAGGCATAAAATTTTTTGAGCCTATTATAGATAAGAATAAACTCCATATTGTAATAAGTTATAATTTTTTTAGATCTCGTTTTAAGGAACTTGTCTCCACATAATAATAATTATCTATAAACTTCAAAAAATATATGCTACGTTACATTAAAAGATTAAGATGAAATAAAATTTTTATTTAAAGTTGTTTGAAATAATGATTTATATTTTAGAGTTGTTACCATATCTATGAACCTGTAAGTACTAATAACTCGCCAGCATGAACACCTCTTGTTAAAACCAAAATATTTCTAGGTTCTCAAGTATGTTTAGAGCTTCTTGGTATGAAACTATATCTATCTCTTTTATTAATGTCTATATATTGGATTTGACATGCTCGATTAATTAATTATTAACGTAGTGCATATTTTACCTCTATATCATTTGCATTAAGGATAACTAAGTCAAAATAATAATTTTTGTGACTATTCTATTAGGTTATAATCTCCTTATAGTAATAAAATTAGTTTGATTCCACCATTATGACTATAGAAATGTTTTACTGTATATGAAACTCAAGAGATAGTATCTACCTAGTTGGTTCAACCTTAGCTGTTTTTGGTGATATTGGAGCCAACTTGTGCTCTAATTATGTGATTTGGTGGTGCAAGGTGGTTGTCCTCATAAAAGTTTGAAGTCTAAAAGGAGGGTTTGTCACATTTCAAATTTCTAGTAAAGATGAACCTAAACTAGTTTGTAAACCTTGAAATGTCTAAATTAAATAGATGTGTTTTATGTGAAGAACGCTTGCATGAAACTCAAATGCAAAATTTGTGATGTTGAAGGATATGTGTGTAAAGTTCAAAGAGGACAATATTTATTCAATTTGTTGGATGTGAGCTATTAAATGGAGACTATCTAAGAACAATGATAAAGCTCAAAGCGGACAATGTCTATTCATTTGGTTGGACTTGAGCTATTATATGAATTCTCTAAGTAAAATGAAGACTCCCAACATGAAAAATTTCAAACTTCCTCGTACACATTACTCAAGGAGGAACTTCTATCATTAGTGTTTAAAATTTGATACTTGATTGATTAGTGAATTAAACCAAGATGTAGAATTTTTTGTTTTTGGGAAAGGAGAAAAAGGCCAAGACTTTTCGAAATTGGGTGGTTCTTACTCATTTGTGGCTGTTGGAGTTTGGATTTTCTAATTTGGTGATCGATTATTATACGCAAAGGTTTTCAAAGCCAAGATAACTAAAACATCCTGTGGTTGTGCAACCTATACAACCCAAATCCTATTCCTTGCTAGGTGGAAAGAATCCTCTTGCATGAGTAAATAGCCAAGTGACGTGGAATGAAATGTCTAATCTCCACATTTATTCTAGGAAACAATTGATCTAGGTTTACTCTATTTTATATTATGGGAATTTAGAACTATTATCTTCTTATGTTAGGATTTTGGCTTATCTTTGTGTAGATGTCCTTATTTTTATTATTATTTTTTTAAATGTGACCTAGACTTTTGTTGAAGACGAAATTTTGACTTAAATTCTTGCACAAGGAATTTGCATAATTTTGCTTATGAAAAAACTTATTGCTTAATATCTTTGGTCAAGTTGTTAAAAAAATTAAGATGTCTAGAACTTTAAAAATTTTAAGACGTTCATACTTAGAATTTTCATGTTCTATCTATGTATGTATAATGAGATTATAGAAAAAGATATATGAAACAATGAGAGTTGATTGGGGGAAACAAACCATACTTTTAAGTCTATATTCCCATTGATCTCCTGGCTTTCTAGTCTTATCTTTCCTGGATTCCTTGCATCTTTAGCCTACTGTATGCCCCCTATTTTGGTTCAACATTCCTGGTTGCCATTGTACTTCCAGTGAACAAGATGAGCTGCAGAGACATTGTGGACTTGATTAGTGATGATGAAGCTGGACCAGTGGATGTAAAAGCTGTTAAGTTGGAGCCAGATTCTGTTGGAAGCACATTCCTTCAAAAGTACAACCATAACCAGACATCTGAGCATCGGAAGTCCAAAACCCAACCTAGAAGACAAGAATCTGAAGAAAATAAAAGTTCAAATGCTCTAAGTGCTGGGCAAAGTAGCAATAGCGTATTGGAGCAAGGACAGTCACCGGTTGATGACACAGGCATCTCTTCTACATCATCTATATGTCCAGCTCCTCTTTGTCGGCAATTCTGGAAAGCTGGGAACTATGAAGATGGGCTTGGTTCTAAGGTCACATTTCAAAGTATGCACCTACTCAATTACTGATGCTCAAGCGATCTGTATGTGGTTGTTTAATGTTTACCTATATTGGTACTTAAAATTCTTGATAATTTGTGCACTGGGTTCTGGTAATTGATCATCAAATGAAATACTGCAACGAACCAAATGCTACGCATAATTTTTTTATCTATCATTTTTTTGCTTGGTTTTTCTATTAGATGATTGTCATAACCATACATGGGAGTCTTCTTGTAAGAGTGGTTATAGATGCTTTATTAATTGTGCCTGACATTTCATTTTTGGGATAACAGATGGCAAAAATTTTTTACATGTCCACCCTATGTTCCTTCATTCAAATGCCACTTCACATAAGTGGGTCTTTGGTGGTATGTCAGCTAATATGGTTATTTGTTTCATTTCCTGCTCTCTTTTCTGATGAATTCAACTGGCTGCGGTTTGTAAATTCTACAATTTTCACTTGTTCATTCCTGTTTGCAGCTGTTGCAGAGCTTCTTGACAACGCTGTGGATGAGGTGATCTTCGTTTTGATTTTTTAAGCTTTCCATTTTGTTATTTTGGTTCCTTATGTGATTCTGGATCATAATCACATTACTATTTGATTGCAAATATTTTGACCCAGATTTTTAGTGTTCTTTTTTTTTTTTTTTTAAATAACTCTTTGAGGAAGAGAAATTCTCTTTTCTGAATTAAAAAAAAAAAAAAAATCTTTTCAAAATTTTATATTAGTTATTTGCTGTCTTGGTTTTTATCTGTCTGCAGATGACCTATATTAATGTATTTGGCTTATTCTAAGGATATTGGAAGCGTATTGATCTATGGGCTTCTTCTTACTTGTTTGCTTGACTAGATGTAATTTGACAGCCAATGTTTATTATTTGCACCTTTTATCTTTTCATGTTCTTAAAAGAGATAAGTATGAATATCTTCAAAATTCCAATGAAAATATATTTCTAGTTGGATTTACTTCTATGTCTGGTGCATAGGTGTGTATGTGAGCTAAATTTCAATCAAACAGAGTGTTCAATTGTTATAACTATTTGTGTTAAACTATCATATCTTGACTTCATGTTTTGCATTTCACCTTTACTTTTTTCTTAATTGGATAGATCCAAAATGGGGCCACTTTTGTCATTGTAGATAAAACCACAAATCCAAGGGATGGAAATCCGGCATTATTATTTCAAGGTATTTGAATTGAATTTTCATTATCATAAAATCCTGATGGAAGAATGCAATACTAACTGTTGTGTTTCCTAAACTTTCCAATGTGCAATTAGACGATGGAGGTGGAATGGACCCTGAAGCAATGCGACACTGCATGAGTTTTGGGTTTTCAGATAAAAAACTGAAATCAGCAATTGGAAAATGTATTGGTCTTATGCTAATATTCTGCAAGAGTCAATTTTTTTTCTTTTTTCTTTTTTTTTTTTGGGCGTCATATTTATTGCTTTAGTTGTGGCTTTTCAGATGGCAATGGCTTCAAGACCAGCTCTATGAGACTTGGTGCAGATGCTGTCGTCTTCAGCCGCCATGTAAACAATAGGTTTGACACAATCTTACGACAAATTTCAATTTTTTTGTTTACTTTTTGCTGTGAGTCAATAGGTCATGTGTAATCTCACAGCACCTGTGGAAGCAAATTAATGTATCATATCTGATAGGTCTTTAGTTACAGACTTCTTCCACAATTTATTGAAAGTTAGTGGAAAATTTAATTGCATTATTCTTATCATATGGCTTCCTGTTCCCCTCTTCATTTTAAGGGATTCTTTCCAAAAGAAATCCAAGGGTGCAAGGGCCTGGCAATTTTTTGTTGTGTCTTTTGCTACTTAGATAATTGATATATTAGTGAATACCAATAGCTAAAGTTTGGGGGCTTTGTATTTTTTGCAACAATATTGAGAATACCCTATTGGAACATTATTAGACATTTTGCTCACAAATTAAGTCAGAAATGAGATATTAGGTTGTTCTGGAGAGAATGTGAGACTTGAAATCATGCTTAATACCTTTAGCCGGAGTTCTTAAGATGAAAAATTCTGGAGTTGGGTAATAGATTTTTCTTTATTTTTTCCCAAACAATGATATTAAAATACTAATATAGAGCGGTTATTTTTATGTTTATCTGTGGATTAGTTTTCCTGCAACATTTTGTTGCCTATTCAAATCTGACATTTTAGTTAATTCCATGATTAGGACCTTTACTCAAAGCATTGGTCTTCTCTCTTATACATTCTTGACACAGACAGGCCTTGACAGAATTGTAGTACCTATGGTGAGTCTCTTGTGTGTATTTGACTTTCTCTTTCAATTCCTACTTTAATATATTTGTCAATTTCAATTTCAGGTGGATTACGAGTTCAACACATCAACTGGCACATTAGATAAATTGCATGATAGAGAACGTTTTAGGTCAAATCTTTCCTTGATGTTGCAGTGGTCTCCTTTCTCTTCAGAAGCAGAGCTTTTGAAGCAAGTAAGCTTACAGAGTTCGTTTTTTTTGGTGATTTGATTTTTTTATTTTTTATTTGTACAGTTGGATGATTATCATTCAACTATTCGAAAAACACTAAAGAAGCCCAAAACAATCAGCTTTGAAGATTGTTATTGTGATGTACACTTCCACAGTGAAATGAAATAGTGAAAAATAGGTTTAAGTATTGCTGCAATTCTTTGCTGATCTCTGGTTATGTTGTTCTTTATCCATTCTGCAACCTGGCCAATTAAAATAAAATTCACTTGATTTGGGAAAAAGAAATTCCCACATAATACCCCATTGATGGGATTAGATAAAGTTGATTTGTGAAGTCAAAGAATGCGGGGTATATAGAAAACTTCTGAGTTGCTTGTCATTAGGAACATAGAATTTACCAAACTACTTCTCTACATTATTAGCAAGTGATATGATGTGATTTGATCGATATTTTTGCTATCTTGATGGTTTTTGGAGGTTTTTCCCGTCTCCAAGATTCTCTTGATAATTTTTTTCTCCCCTCATGAATGCAGTTTGATGACATTGGATCACATGGCACAAAAATTATCATCTACAACTTATGGTTCGGTGGTGATGGTAATACGGAGCTAGACTTTGATTCAGATCCTGAGGTTGACATTCCCTTCATATTTTAATTTTCTTCATTTTAAAATCTTATGTTCTTTCATTTCTGATGTGTGGTCTTGTGGTTGGGTGATTTCAGGATATTCAAATTAATGTGGATATTAAAAAAAAAGAGAAGTCAATCACTGAACAGCACATAGCTAACAGGTTCCATTATTCTCTGCGTGTAAGTCTACAGTGGAGAACTTGTGTTTGAATATACTTGTAGAAAGGAACTCATGTCTTGCTAAGCCTAGTCTCTTACTTCACAGGTGTACCTTTCCATATTGTACATACGGATTCCTGAAAGTTTCAGCATAATATTGCGTGGGCGCATTGTTGAGCATCATAATATTGCTAATGATCTCAAATTTCCAGAATTCATCTTGTATAGACCCCACAGTGGTGGATGCGTGGAGGTTGGTATTTAATTGCTGGAAACTTCTCATTCTTGGTTACAGAAGTGCCATTGGAAAAATATCAAATTATAACCTTGATGTCTTATTATGCTAGTTCAATCTCTTGTGACTTATGAAGCCAACTTGATATGTTTAATTTCTTTTGAGATCTATACTGCTATAAGTACTGTAGAAGGGTCAATAACAGCTCAAGTAGGGGCTTTATTTCTTCTTGAGCATTATGTAATTGGTGTAATTATATCTGCAATTACAAACTTGTGTAATTATATCCAAGTTTGTCATCAACATAGACCAGAATGTCTGAGTCTGAATTTTTTTTTTCTCTTTTCTGATTTCTGATTTCTGATTTCTGATTTCTGATTTCTGATTTCTGATTTCTGAATATAAGGGTTAGGGTTGTGAGAATGTGGAATTTATAAGGAAAAAGGGAAGGGGAAAAATCAGGTTAGAGTGAAAGATAGTAGCTTAGATTCAGATATGATGTCAAGACATTTACTTAAAAGCCAATACTTTTTAATTTTTTTGATTCAGACAAAGACTCCTTAGAATAACCTTTAAGTTTGAAAAGTAAACAAGAAAAAGACATTTTAATGACTGATATTAGGTGTCTGAAGTCTGTACCCATTAATTGATAAATCGATTGCTGTCACTCCCAACTTTATGCTTTCTTCATGTTTTATCCTCTGTTGCTAAAGTTTCTGTGGATAGTTCCAGATTCACTGTCTCTGGATTTAGGTGAAATATCAAGCTTTATTTTTGCTGTATTAGATTATGTATATGTTTGAATTTGGTTATCATTCACATTGGTGTTCCCTGGTTTAATTGTGCAGGGTACAGTTATAACTACAATTGGTTTTCTAAAAGAAGCTCCAAATGTTAATATCCATGGCTTCTGTGTGTACCACAAGAATCGTCTAATTTTGGTATCTGTATTTAACTCAAAAGGTTTATTGTCCTTTAATTTAAGTTATTTACTGATGTGAAGGAGATTTTTTTATCTAACTACAATGTAAAATTTGATCCATATTAACAACTTCAGATTAGTGAAGGACCATTGTCATTAAACTTTTTTTGTTTGTTTAGCTCTCCTATTTTTTGTAGTTTGTATAGTCACTTCTGTGGCCATTGGTTACAATTTGTTTCACATATGTAAATTCATAGTTGTATTCATTTTCCAGTTAGATCTTCAGAATGCAACTTGTTATGGTTAATGATAGAAAGGCTACTGACTGATGACATCGAGTGAGAGAGGAAACTGTTGTTCTTTGATTGGACTGGTTCAATGTAATTTTTGTTATTTAATATTTTTAAGTGAGCGAGGGAAACCATTGTTCTTTGATCAGATAGGTTCAGTTGTAATTTTTTGTCATTTATTGAAGAATCTTAATGCTTGTGAATATGTTTAAACTCTTATAAAAATAGATGCAAAACTATTTGCATATCAGGGGAATTTCTGCCTCTCTGTCTCTGTCTCTGTCTCACACACACTTAAAAACTAGTGTATGCGTCTGTGCACAAACACCTGTACTGGAGCTATATCTTTGCATGATTACCATGCTTTATTTTATTTTATTTTTCATGTGATCAGATTTTCACTGTTTTTGCAGCCATATTGGAAGGTAGTTACCTATTCTAGTAATAGTAGGGGAAGAGGAGTTGTTGGTGAGAATTTCTGTAGCCAAGCATCTGTTTCCCCCAGTTTTTTGATGAATTTGTTTGTTCAAAATTTGTATTTAATACATGCTAGATTATCTGTTGTTATTACTGTAGGTGTTTTGGAAGCAAATTTTGTGGAGCCAACTCATAACAAACAAGACTTCGAGAGAACTTCCCTTTTCCAAAAGCTTGAAACTCGGTTGAAGGAAATGCAATGGGAATACTGGTAAGCTTTAGATAATCTCTGAATTGAAGGATTTACATTAGGTATAAACTGTTGAGATCCTCTGTTTGAGTTCCTTTCTTGATCATGCATTTTTATTTTCTGCCTTCTCTTACTCTACTAGCAGCTGTTGAATAATTTGGATCAGGTTCTCTAAAGACATTTTGATACTATAAGGATGTTAATTTTGTTTCAAACTACATAGTACTTGTACATATATTATTTGCTTTGAAGTTAATCTAGTTTGTTGATGAATGGGGTGATTTTGAGTTCTATAAGGAATAATTGCTGAATTTAATGTTGTTATCTTTGCTGATTCAATATATGGTTAAGAAATCAATTTTGAAGTCTTCAAGATTGCCTTGAAATACTGAGTTGAGCATCTGGAATCCAGTGATTGAATTCCCCTACTGATGAGAGTTTGCAGTTAGCATTCATACCTAGCTAATGTATGTTATTGCACTTTGTCAGGGATTATCATTGTGCACTGATTGGCTATCATGCCCATAAAAAGCCTCGAGTAACAGTTGCATCGCAGGATTCATCTCATTCTGCACAACCTAGGAATATAAAACCTGTAGTGTTAAATCATAGTTCCGCTCCTGTTGGTAGCACAAAAACATCCAATCCCTCCCACTCATTAGTTGGAAGAGCAGAGCAATTAATACCCATTTCTCAAGGCACCACAAAACCAGGTAAAATTGCTTGCTGAAAATAAAATGATTTCATTACTAACCTTGACATTTTATATTTTGCATATTATGTCTTGTGTTGTGACAGGATCATGTAAGAGGAAGGAATACGGGGAGTTATTGGAATTTGGAAATGTTAAAAAGCACTCTGGTAAAGAGGCTAGCATGAGTGATGTTGGTCAGAGTTTGGACACACAGGTAGATATGTTGGACGCTTTTGGTTGAAACCATTTTTGATGCTAAAGCATCCTTCTCAAATATAATTTAAGTGCATCTCAATTAACTTTATTTGGTGAGCAAAAATATGTTATTAGTTCTTGGTTTTTATATCGCTCTCCCTTATGCAAGCTCATTTGATTTGAATTTGGATTTGGATTTGGTGGTATATGATTCTAAGAGGACAAGGAATTTGGATTTGGTGATATATGATTCTAAGAGGACAAGTGTGATATAGCTTCTCTCGTGTTATTTTGGATTTACCATTTCAGTATTCAAGAATTGTAGTGTGGCTTGATAGACTGAATTGTGTTTTGCATCTTCTAGTTTTCTTGCTTTGTACCTTGATTAATAGCAAGGATACACAAGTCATCATCTTAAGGAGTCTTTATGTTGCTTTCACTTTTTTTTTTTCTATTTTATCTAGCAGTTCTGTAAAAACATTTGTTAATTGGGCACAAACTTATTCATCTTTTTTGTAGCCTGTCATTACTACTGTCAACCAATTGAGAAGTCAAGAAGCCATAAACTTGATGCAAGAAAACAAGAAGCTCAGTGCTAAGTGAGTATATGAGTATTTTAGTTTTATGTGGTTATCTGCAGTTTTACTTGTGTGATAGAATGGATTGTAGAAACTTTGGTTTGTATATATTGATATTTTCATCATTTGGGAGATTTACACTTTTGTACTATGATTATACTGTTATTGTTTCCTGAATAATGATGGCCTAACTTATTTTTTTAGGCCGACCCTTGTCACCAACATCAAGCAAAACTTAATCCTTGTTAGGCATCATGCTTATTGATTTTTTCTTTTGAAATCCCTTGCCGCTCGCATCCCTCAAAACTCAATCCTTATTAGGAATCATGCTTACTGACTTTTTTTTTTTTTTTCCTATTTATCATTTCAAATATTTATATGGAACACTTTATTTTTTCAGCTACTTCGAATATGATAAGAGGATTGAAGAACTTAATCACAAGGTATTTCATTTGACATGAGTAATCATTTTGTGTATGCACATCCGTTGCACAAAAGCAAGCAACAAATATTTGAGCAATTTTTTGTGAACTAATGAGCACTATTATTCTTATTTATGCAGATGACACGGCTTCAAAGTGAACTTGAAGAGTTGGAACGGGAATATAAGGAACAACTGGCTGAAGTAGAAGCATTGGATGCCATAAAAGAGGAAAGAAAGGTGTAAACAGTAGGTTCTACATGTTTTTTTTTTTTTTTTGTTAAAATTCTTTTATACGTAAAAGATTGTTGTAGCGATAGGTGTATATACTGATCTGTCCCGGAGTTCTTAACCTTGATTATGGTAGTAGCAGAGAGGTCCTCCAGAGAAAGGCAAAGTTTTTGAGGTATAGTTTACCTTTTTTGTTGTAAATAGTAGAGTTAACTAGTAGGACAATGCAAGGTCGGTTTTTGGTAGCAGCTTCTTGATGTGGAACATGGTTTTCTCAACATGTCCGAATCAGTGGTTGATTCTTGTACTGACCACCGATAACACTTGACTCTGTAAAATTGATGATATTTAGAAGTTATAAAAATATAGATGACATTGAATTTCTTCAGTTTGTCTAGACTATTAGATATGGTGTACCGATGAATGTGGTTTATTAGTCAGGACGTATTGATATAAATTTTGTTAGGGTAGTGTTTAAGAGTAATGCTACAGTTATCGACGGGTGTATACCGAATTTGTGCACCGAATGACGTGGCAAAATCCTGATCGTTGATTTATTATCAGTTAATATTAATCAACGGTCAGGATTTTGTCACGTCATTCGGTGCACAAATTCGGTGTAAACTTTTTGGTAACTCTATCATTTTCTAGTGTTTAAATACCGGTTGATTTATCTTTAATTGAAATGAAATGATATTACTAAATACAAAGTGGGTTGAGAGTGTGAAATTGTTTGTAATTATTCTGATAAAACTTTATTGTAATCCCAAATTCTTGTAATAGTTTCTTGGATTCAGTTGAGGAAATGTGGAACAGGTCAATAATCAGTGACTTTCATTCCCATTGTTACAAAGGCCGTATGTCTGACTTAGAGATGGGCGCAGCCCAGTCCCCGTTACCGATCCCTTGGGGGATCACCCGGCCCGAGGAATTCCCACCCCCACCCCCACCCCAGAGGTCGGAGATTTGCAGGTATTAATCCCTGTATGGATTTTTGCCCTATAGCGGGGTTAATCCTAGTGGGGACTTTTCTCCAAACAGGGGATTATTTCAAACTTTTTTTAATATTTGATTTTGTATAATTCTTTTGTGATAATTGGGAGCATGAGATTTAGGGATCTAGACAGTAAAAGAAGAAAAACTTATTGAAATTATGAATAAAATTAAGGATCAAGTCTCAGTGAACTATTGAATAAAAATAAAACAATGTTAATAAAGTTTATGACTAATTAATTGATTAGAAAGACTTGATAACAAAATCTATGTAAAATAAAACAATGTTAATAAATAAAGAGTGAATGACAAGTTCCCACCCTAGGTTTGGCCTAATGAGTTCACACCCGAAAAGTTTCAAAACGNAATTCCCACCCCCACCCCCACCCCAGAGGTCGGAGATTTGCAGGTATTAATCCCTGTATGGATTTTTGCCCTATAGCGGGGTTAATCCTAGTGGGGACTTTTCTCCAAACAGGGGATTATTTCAAACTTTTTTTAATATTTGATTTTGTATAATTCTTTTGTGATAATTGGGAGCATGAGATTTAGGGATCTAGACAGTAAAAGAAGAAAAACTTATTGAAATTATGAATAAAATTAAGGATCAAGTCTCAGTGAACTATTGAATAAAAATAAAACAATGTTAATAAAGTTTATGACTAATTAATTGATTAGAAAGACTTGATAACAAAATCTATGTAAAATAAAACAATGTTAATAAATAAAGAGTGAATGACAAGTTCCCACCCTAGGTTTGGCCTAATGAGTTCACACCCGAAAAGTTTCAAAACGATAGTTTCCCACCTATCCATCCAATTTTTCGGTTAATTTCAACTTTTGAAGGATAGAATGGTAAATTCAGCTTATTTCAACTTTATTTTCTTTTACAAATTTTGATAAACTGTTGCTGGCCATTGTCCCCTCCTCTTCCATACCCTCCCTAGTCCTTCTCCCTCCTCTTCCATAACCTCTGTAGCCACCACCTGCTGCCGGTCCCGTGTGATTCTGAGTTCTGACGTGGTCTTTGTTTTGGTTAAAAGTTAATTATAAAAATAATAAAGAATTACAGAAAAATGGAGAAAACCTTAAGCACCAACATCCTTGGACATGACCAAGGAACAAGCTACACTCAAGGCAGCTGCTGCCTTGGTTGGACAGGAACAACCATAACCCATCGAGAGGAGGCAAAGAACAACCCAAAATAAAGTGGAGTATGATTCCAAAACTCGATTGCATCAACCAGGTAACAAACATGTGCTGGCTTTGTTGGAAAAAACAGCAGCTCAAAACCTGCAAGGCACACAACAGATGAAAAAAATCAAAAGGCCAGCCATAACCGCCATTACAAAACAAAGCTCCCCTGCCACTATTAGGATGCTAAATGTCGTAAACTGAAGCTACTACCAACACACTCGTCCAGCTATCCCTCTGCCTCCTCAAATTACAAAAGACCAACTGCACCTTCAAATACACTACTGCCAGCACAAGAAAAAACTTGTACATAATAACTTCGCAAATAAAGCAACACAAAAACAAATGTGCAGTGTCTATTCTACAAGCAATGGTGCGATTGATAGAGGAAATAGAAGAAGAGAAGAGTGTGACTGATAGAGGAAATAGAGAAGAAGAGAGAGGAAGAAGAAAGAGAGAGAAAAAAAATTAGGGGTTTTGTTTCTTAAGTTTATACACAAGGGATAAAATGACATGATTATCCTTTAATTGTTTTTTGAAATTACTATTCTATCCTTCTGCAGTTAAAAATAACGGAGAAATTGGATGAGTGGGTGGGAAACTATCATTCTGAAACTTTTCGGGTGGAAACTTGTCATTAGGCCAAACCTTGGGTGGGAAGTTGTCGTTTGCCCATAAATAAATAATTAATTGATTAGAAAGAAAACAGGATTTGTGTAATTTGATATATATTTTTTTCTAATCTAGATTTCTCCTGAAATATTTTCAAAGTTTAGATAATTTACTTAGAAGATCAACTAAATTACCTTACTTTATGTAATAGTGCAATAATAGTCATAAATCTTAATGAACATCAACAATTCAACATCATAATTCTTACATAAGTCTTCGTAATTTGTAAACTATTAAATAAAAATAAAATAATGTTTTTTTTTTTTTCAAACCAAAATATGATTCTAAATTCAAAAATTTTAGTTGTATTTTAATGTTTAATACAATATTAAATTTTTAATTAAATATGATAGAGAATTAAGAAAAACATTTAACATTTTCATAAAATTAATAAAACTATATTCAATCCTAACATAATTTACTTGGTGAATTAACATTTTCATAAATCGATTTTATTATTTGACTCCCTACTTAAATTGTTATTTCTTTTAATTTAAGAAAAAAATTGGTGAGGGGTCTGTAATACTTTCTAAAAATATTAGAAAGTATTGTCAATATCTAATTTTTAGAATATTTTAGTATAAATTAAATTAAATATTTGCACTCTTATTAAAAAAAAAAAATTAGTGATTAATCTCATATAATATTGTCAAACAAAACCATGCATGCAAGAATTAATTGTCGGTTGTCACTAATAATAACGTATTTCAATTTTCAATGTATAACTTATACAAACACACCTTCTACTTCTAGCACGTAGCAATTAAAGGAACCAATAATATGTATAACAATAAGAATTAAGAAATATAACAAAAAGAACAAAACATTAGTAAATGAATAAAGTTATGATACAATTTCTTCTTAATGTTAAGATACTGAAATGATAACATAATCAAGTCAATATGAATTACTTAATAAATTCATAATATTTATTCTTTAGTCTCTATTCAAAGTTTATTCACTTCAATACTTCATCTTCTTGCCTTTAAGTTACTTTCATTCCCCAATTAAAGATAACAATCACAAAGTTTGATAATTTGATAATGTATTTAAGATATATACTTCATCTTCATGCCTTTAATAATGTATTTAAGATAACAATAAATTTTTTTGATAATTTGATATATGATTTAAAATCTTATATCGTGGAATTCTAATTTTATACAAAATCTATTAAAGATTAAAAAAAAAAGTTTTTAATAAATTTACAGTAAACGGGTTGGGCTGTAGGGGGAGGGTTGAGGCAACATTGGGTGGGGCTTTACACGGTGGGGTGAACTAAACCCCCATCCCAAGGGTCGGGGATTTTTTCCATGTTCGTCCCCGCCTCGTTACCTAAAAATTTCAAGGAATCCCCACCCCATTAAGGGCCGGACAGGACGAGTCCTCAACGGGGCAGGTCAAACGCCCATCCCTGATTAGAAACACTCTCTTTTTCACTTTCTCATTCATTATTTGATAAGTGTATAAAAAGATAAAGGAAATGGGAAAATATCATATTCATGTGTTAAGAGAGGGCAAAAAGAGTATTCTTAACACTTCTCCTTCTTTAATTGGATTCTTCCAAGTCCTATAAAAATGTTTGCAAACAAAGTTCAATTAATTTTTGGAAGATTATTCAAAACAAGTATAACTTCGTATTAATCTTATGAAATTGGCAGCCCTAGCGTGGGCTAATATTATAGACTCATTGAAATCTGGTAACGCCACACAATTTTTTAATTTTTATAGCAAGTTTTAACACCTTTGCGCCTCATTTTTACTTATTGATTAATGCAACTTAATAAAGTTACTATGAGAAGTTATAACCGTTATTAGTATTATATTTATATCAATGATATCTTAATTCATTTTGTTGATGCATGATTTTGATACCAACGACTCACATGTGTAAAATGCTAAGCTGTTTTTAGAAATTACACGTCAGCAACAGCCTGCCCTTTAATTGCTATTTTCAATTTGTAATGCAGATCGAATTAACTCAGTTTCATAGCCCACTCAAGCAACTTACTTGAGGTCTTTGGCTTCTGAAGGACCTGCCTGAGCAGGTAGTTTGTTAAAACATGGATGGTGTGGGCATGGAAGTAAGGTCGCAGCTTCTTGGAAGCGATCAGCAGGGAATAAGCTAATCGTTATATCTCTAGATACCGAGTCTCAGCGTCTAGTAGTCATTTGCTCGTGTAATA